TGTCAACGATGATACGAAGAGACCTCATAATGCAAATGGCAACAGTCAATGTTACCGACTGTCGCCATTTGCGGGTGGAAAGATCATTTCTTGTTCGTTCTAACAATAACTGTTGATCAATGAGGATATTGTTGTTGATTCCTAAAATTTGCGATTCGAAGTGATTTATTCGTTATTACACCGCTGGTTATCTTTGTTTTGCACTCAAATTTCTCAATGATTCCTGAAAGTTCACACCTCGAATATACATTTATGAACATTTAATTTTTCATTTATATAATTTGAATATACAGTGTATAATTTTGCATTTCACTGGACCCCATCTACCTCTGTCTGTTAATTTAGTTGCTATTCATCGCAGAACATTTATGAAAATGTTTGTTTCCTTGAATAGACTCACTATCAGCTATTCTTTGAAATGTTACACTTTTCATCGAGCTCATACGTTTTGAGAATACTTCGATTCTCTTATTTTTGCTGTGATTTTTCGAATGTTCCAAATAACCTGACATAAATGTGCCGGATGTAATTTCGGCTGTGAAGAATATCAGTTCGATGGTGATTCATGTAATGTATTTGCGCAATACCCTTTCATATGTCACGTTCCACTGCATTGCGTTACACTTTTCGGCCATGTTGTGTCTGCAACAATGAACGCAAAAATACAATTGCTGACCTGATGAGTCTTAAAAGTACTTCACTGTGCCAGGTAGATTTTCGTGTTGCCAATAACGCGTATAATAACCGTCAAGTGTTCAGTTGCTGTCCAGTAGTGAAAGTCGCATTTGGTAATGCGTCACTACGAGGACTGGAGTTGTCATCGATGGATTCAAAAATTTAGGGGATGGTATATTTGTGAGCAGAATTAGTAATTATATGACGCCAAATTGCACGCAAGCAGTAAGCCGCCGTTAAACTGAAGTAACATTCGCAACATTACTGTCAATACTTTCAGCACCACCAAAAGTTGGAAATGACGAAGAACTTGAGGTGACGGTTGGTAAAGGGATTACGATGAACTGTGACGTTGAACAAGAGGGACCTCAGTCGACCATCACATGGCTCTTTGTAAGACATATTCATTTACGAATATGTTTACTTTTGACTATGATGAAATCTTGTGGATATTATGTTCTAGAATGCACTTGCCCAAAGCATCCATAAAAGAGTTATCGCAAATGTTTTGAGCAAGATATGAGCATGTAAAAATGTTATAGTTAGAAATTTAAGAACTCATTTTCCGGGCACTATTTTATAGATGCATTTCAATCAAACGAGTAAAATTTAATTAATCCGATGAAGAAATTGCATTTGGCTAAAACCCTGAGACAATAGCTAGGTATCTGTATATCTGGAAGAGTTGGTTTGATTATCACAAAACATTCAGACGTGGGAACTACTTTGCTTCAGCTGAGAAACAATTCGCAATTCTTTTTTTTAACGAATTCACTGAAAATTGCTGCTCTCAATCATTGATTATTCAAGATTTGTAATGCGTTTCCGTTCCACGAATGTTGTTTTTTTTCAGAATGGTTCTGAAAATCTGCCTCCAAACGCACAAGTTGTGCTTCATGGTCGTCGCTTATATGTTGACGAGACAAGTCTTCTCAATCAAGGGTTGTATCAATGCCGTGTAAGAAATACTGCCGGTGAAAGCATCAAAAACTTCAAATTGCGCGTGATTGGTGCGTATTACTTTTCTGTTTGTATACAATCACAACGTAGTTGTATCATTACAGAGATACTTCGTATCACACACTGTTGAACATGCTTGTAGAGGGCACTTTGAATCGTTCATTAACTTTCATCAGTCTCCAAAAGCAGGGGAAATATTAAGTTCACATAAATTATTTTCTCAGCTACAGAAAAAGAGGCATGAAATGGTAGTTGAAAAATTGAAGTGATTTATTACATTCTTGAAATGATTCGTCAGTGTGAATGCCATTTCGAATTTTCGAAATCTATTTCATGGCATCATTCTGTTGCTCGGAAGATAATTGCTGGAAACATGATATTTTCGTCCATGGACATTGTATGTTAATCAGTTCGAATTCAGCGCCACCCGAATTCGTAGAGAAAGAGTATATGGATAATATTCAAATCACCACTGGTATAGCCTTAACACTGACGTGTTATGTGAACGGTAATCCTCAGCCGACGATCAGGTGGCTTCGAGACGGACGTGACATTCATGACAAAAGCGCAGCATTCAGTGATTCCAATCAGAAACTCATCATACAGCATACTACAAATGCTAACCACAGGTACAGTCATCGCATAGAAGATAATTAATCTGCCACATTCACGAAGTACTTTGTAATCCCGAGAATTTTGATGGCTCGAAAGATCATTCAAGGATTAGATATTGATTCGTGCCATTATGTTTCTTACCTCGTTAATCATAATGTCTATGGCATGTTTTGTATGATTCCTTGAAAACTGAGTGTGATTCGATGTTGAATTGAAAGTGGAAGAACATTAAAACCCATCTATCTCATCAACGAGAATCACTACGTTCTGACTGAGAAGACAGCCGATACAGTTACTCACTTCACTTCTAGCTATAGATGTTACTTGTATTATATACTTTGTACAACTTATTTTCTGCCACTCTAGTAGTCTATTAAATAGTACGCTTTGTTATGGTGATTAGCTTCCTCATTGCACTCGACCAGAACTCTTGTGTTTAGCCTATTGAACATGATTATTTGCAG